TATGATCCTGTGATTGAAGCTGACTAAAAAGGATTCAGTGCAGCTGGTGATGGTTTTCTGATGCTTCAGCTTGGCTGCCTCTTTGCTTCTGCACGCGCTGTCATGAGGAAGAAGGCTGCGGGATGACTACCGGACTTCAGTCAGGATTGTTAGGCAAGTGGCCCGAAGCATAGATGGAGGATGCTTTACAGGGGTGATGAAATCTTGATTACTGTTAATTCAACAGTCAGTAAATTCAATCTCCCACAACCTGCACCTTTAACATCCTTTAACTCAGCCAACTACCAACGGATGCTGGACTTGCCCGATACTGACCCACAAGTGCAGTCAGAACTAGTTCCAGTAGAATCTTACCCTGAGAGTGACATGGCTTTGTTGACTCATGCATGTGCTTGGATTTATGCCAATTCCATTAATATCGACTCAGTGACTCACAGTCCTATCCGGATGTCGGTGGTAGAGCATTTGGTGAACATCCTTTCCAGCAACTGTTGCCTACCCTACGGATTTGAAAGAACATGAAACAACACATCCAAAGGGCTTTAGACTTGGCTTGTTTAGACCCAATGAGGGACATCAACATCCTTCACTTGTCATCTTGTCAGTACTTGAGCTACAATGACATCATTGTACCAAGGACCAATGTGAAGGGAAGATCCACCCTATGGAAGCATCAGCTGAGAAGGGGGTGGCAGAAGGAACAAGGTAAGCTAAAGGGAAATCGGTATTTTTTGAAAATCAACTATTCAACTATTAGAAATACACCCCAGCATATAGACATGCACATGACAAACGTATTTATACAAATTGTTTGAAGAGATCCTGCTTTGTCCCCGGATCACGGCAGCTCCTTGAACGAGAATGAATGAACATTTTAATGAATGAACGAGAACTCCATGATAATGGATTCTAGCCATTTCGGATATGACATGGAGTTACGGAGTTGTCAAAGCAACTGAGATCGCACAGTCGAACAACACATGAGAGGGGTTGTCCAAGCTCGGTGACCATTTCACTTCTCAACAGAGCTGCCCAACACGAATAAAATAAGACTGGGCTCATGAGTAGAAAGATGTAGCAAAAGGTACATTGCGATGTCTTCAAAAGTGACGAGCCGATGGCGACATTGCGATCCTTGCGGTTCGCTTCCTCATGGAAGGTTTGCCAGCTCCGCTTCGTTCTGGAACGCCGGTAGCCCTTTCATCGACAGTTCGCCGGCAGCCAGCCGTTCAGAGGTTCAGCCGCAGCCAGTGGTTTGAATGCTGGTCCTTGGGCTGTACACACGTGAGGGCTTTCGCCTTGCTTGGAGCATTCCTGCGACAGCGGAGCAGAACAAGAGCCAGCCCGACTTGTGAATTGCACTGGCTGCAGGAGGGAGTTTCAGAATCGACTCAATTGTCAACTGCTTCGATATGTGATCCTCCAGGTAACTGATATGGCACGTAGCTTTATAATAAGGTGGAAGCTCCTAAGTTCTGGGTTTCATAAAGGGTCCAATGGAGGCGCTTCATCTTGAAAGAGTAAGGATCCAGCATGTGGAAAAGCAACTAAAGGTTTCACATTCCAGTCACTTCAGGAGAGATCTCCTTGCCTGACCCTGGAGCAAGAAGAAGCTCTTCATCTTATGATGTCGGAGGACTTCAACTTCCGACAGCTAACAAGCAGGGAGAACAAAGCATTTCGCCAGAAAGTCTGCAAGACCACCGGGTTAAAGCCAGATGACGTAAGCGATTTGTTCATCCACAGCCTTCGGCGAAACGTCCAAATTGAAGCCGCTGCACGATTTGCTTGGCGATTAAAAGACAAAGGTTTGCTGTCTACGGTGGAGAAGGAGAAGAAAGTTGCAAAGGATTCGGATTCACTAGCATTGCCAAGGCTTTCTCAAGAGCTTTGCCTGCCTCCCTCGGTGATTCTTAAGAGGATGCTACAATCCGAAGATTTGTAACTTGTAGAGATCGCATGTCCATGATAGGACTGAATCTTTTTGCTTCGCTTTCCAAGTGTGCACGGAAGGAATAGCATTCTTTGAGGGTTACTTTCCCGCGTTTCGAGAGTAAGTTAATGTTCTTTAAAAGGCCCGTTTACTCTTTTTTCCTATAGTTTTTGAGCAGTGCGCCAAGAATAGTAAGGCCCAAGAACATGAAGCCTCAAACAGTCTTGCGGGCGTTGCAAGATGATTTCTCTTCAATAGCAGAAGCTCGAAAGCTCTTGGTGAAGAAGGTTCCAGCCTGCGATTCAATGAGCGATTGGATGCTGAGGGAGTTCGTTTGGGTTTG